TCACAATAACTTGGCTGAAGTATGTTGACCAGACCACACACACTAGAAGGTGAAGGGATGACGAAGTTTCAGTCTGTCCTGGACCATTCTCAAGTCAATTGTGATGAGGGAAGGTGATGAAGACAATAAATAGGCAAGAGAGAGGCGAGGAGCAAGGCAAAAGGTACGAAAGGTAAGATGTAGTAGAGAGGATAGTAGTAGGAATAAGAACTGCAGGAGGCACATTGGCCCATATGAGACAGCTCCTATTCATAGCCACCGAATGAGAAAAGGATAGTAATAGGAATAAGAAGAGGATAGCAAGGGAACATAAGAGTAAACAATGAACAGAAAAAGAAAAACAAAAGGAAAGAGAAAGAAAGATAAATGGAAGGGTAATGTGAGGACTGTCATATGAGGGATTCTAATCATCCTATTGATTGGTCTTCCTCCAAAACAATCTTTCCTGCCTCTACTCTACACAGACGCCAACTTGTTGAATTGGCTCTAATACACAATGTACTAAACATGAACTTGAGTCCTGGCTTTGTTGCTGTTGAATCTTCCCTTTCACAGTATATACTCAAATGCTCTAATCTTTCTAACAAACGTGACCTAACATAAGCTTACCCTTCCATTTATCTTTCTTTCTCTTTCCTTTTCTTTTTCTGTTCATTGTTTACTCTTATGTTCCCTTGCTATCCTCTTCTTATTCCTATTACTATCCCCTTCTCATTCGGTGGCTATGAATAGGAGCTGCCTCGTATAGGCCAATGGGTATTCTGCAGTTCTTATTCCTACTACTATCCTCTCTACTACATCTTACCTTTCGTACCTTTTGCCTTGCTCCTCACCTCTCTCTTGCCTATTTATTGCCTTCATCACCTTCCCTCATCATCCTTCCGCACCATGGGAAGAGCCTACTTTCAAAATAATAATAGAAAGTCTCCCAATGAAAAAGGCTGCCTATGATCCGACAATCCTAAGGCGCATAATAGAAGAGCAAATGTATAGCATAGCAGTAGCAGGAGCCACCCACATCTTCACAGACGGATCAGTTGACACAATACGAGAGTGCTGGCGCTGCTCTTTGCACGACCAGCGTACAGGTATACTGGAGACTGGGAGAACTAGTATCAACCCAAACTGAGCTGTTTGCCATACAACAGGCATTCGCATATGTGATTGCACAAAACACTCGAAATGCAATCATACGCACAGACTCAAAAGCTGCACTTCAAATACTAGGACAAAAACAGTGGAAAGATAACGTGGAAATAATTACCACCATTTTGTATCTTGGAGCAGTCGCTAAAGGCAAAGGACTCAACATAACCTTAAACTGGATCCCATCCCATGTTGGAATCCCATTAACACTTTCACCCGGGCATGACGCAGCATTGCATCATCCGTTTACTGTCGGTAATACCGGGGATGATGCAACATCGCGTCATCCACTTTAAATAATCACCAAAAATCAGGTTTTTATCCGATTTTTTTGGGACTGGTTTTAAAATGCGCACCGATGTCTTCCCATTTTGTTTGTTGAGCCTCGTGGCCCTCAGGCGGCTTGGCACATGCCGTGGGCCCATTGTTTTCGCTCCACTGTTGTGACCAATGTCGCCTCCCCTCGCATCTCAAACGTGTGAACATTTCGGCTATTTTCCGTGGCTATATTTCTTACTGCGGCTTTAGAAACTATCTACACTTACTCCACGATGGATAGTGATCATGAACAAGGCCATTCCAGGAAGAAAATTGCGAAAGAAAGGCTTGAAAAGGGCGGGAATTGGGAGTGTAGCTGGAAGGCGTCTGAGCGCTCACTCGCGGCTAACGCGTGGCCCGTCTTCAACTCGTCGGCGGTTGGAGTGTGACCAGGTTTTTTATTTTATATGCTAATGTTCCTCTAGAGAATTCTATTGCGAACCCATTGAGACCAAAATGAAAGACCTAGGACGAGAATTGAGGTGACCAGAGTGAAAATAGTGAAAACATTTTATCGCGTTTGCGCGCTCCTGGGTAACTCGTTCGCACTTTCTCTGTTTGCTGCGGGTAATTAGCTGGGCGTTTGGAGTTTATATGCATTTAGTGCTGTAGAGAATTCTATTGCGAACACAATGATACAAAATTTAATCTCGTAGGACGAGAATTAAGGTGACAAAGTTGAAGAGAGTATACACTTTTCAGAATTTACACGCGCTCCCGTGACACCCTGGGACCCAAATCGCACAGTTGAGGGGTGGCGCGCGGGGTACGCCAAAGTGTTAAATGAGAAAGCTGATGAAATTGCTAAATTGGCAACTCGTCATCCAGTGATACATAAAACAATTCAACCCAGCCTAGAGAACATAAAAAACATCACCAAAAAACTCGCACACCTCAACAAAGCTTACCTACACCAGAGAATAGCTGAAGGTTCGCCCTCTGCAACATGGTATTTTCAGGCAACCAAATTAGAAAGGTTAAATATCCCAAAAGGAATCCACAGGGAAATAGCAGTTAGGTTATATAGACTACGTCTAGGTTACAGATGCAACTGGGAGATTGGTGAACCCCGACAGAGAGAGTGCATCTTCTGCCAAACTGTTACAGAAAAGCCATTACTTCACTATCTTCTGGAATGTGAAGCAACCAACAACCTTAGAAGAGCTTTAAGAGTTTCTGAATCTTGCAGTGGCCACCCTAAAGCCATCAACACAGCCACTCACCTGGTCAACAAAGTTGTCCACCAGCTGGACACCCTCATAAAGACTGTGAAGCCGTATCCTCCCCCGCGATAACAGCTTGACGATGAAATGCAACCTCAGAATACTGGAAAGAATTACTAAAAAAAAAAAAAAAAAAAATTGTACCACTTACGGGCTATTCATGCCCATGCCACCTCTTGGGTGGCTTAACCCTTAAACTGCGCAATGCGCCTGCAGGCTCACGTCTGGTTTGCACAACGCGCCTCTGGGTATTCAGCGTGTGACCACAGCATCGCCTAATAATGTCAAAATATACATATAACTTGTATTATTTAGCCATGATAGTGTTATAGAAGAGCCTGAGTGTGATAGTGACTGGGTACAATGTTCAAATATCAGTGATTCAATACTGTTCATGATATTCACAGCGCTAGCCACAGCACCACAGCATTATTTCGTCCATCTAGGAATCTTCAAATGATTTCTTAGGTTCCCTTTCAAAATAATCGTGTGGTCAATTATTCATTTACAGGAATTAGTGACCAGGATTGTAATAATAGCAGGATTATGGTTATAATTAGCGTTGTGCGTAGTATTGTGGAAGGAGGAATTTTGGGGAAGGAGGGAGGGAGAGAATTGAGGTAGCCTCTGTGTGTTTGTGTGTGGCAGCCACTCTTGTTTTGCTCACCATACTAGCTTAGTGGTTCGCTATGGGCAATACATATGTACGTGTGTATATAGTGTAATAACAGCAACAGGAGAATGTTGAGAGGAGCTATTTTGGCGAGGGAGGTTACGTAGTAATCGTAGCGTCGTCTGCTGTGTGATTTTTCATGCAGTGTATGGTGGCAACTGTACCGTTTGGACACAATACCAGCTTACTTGCATAGTTCTGGTAAATAAAACATGTAGATAGGTATATATAACATGTGTAATTAGTGTAATAAGAACAATAACAGAATGGTGGGAAGAGCAATGTTGGCGAGTAAGATGTTGGAGTGAGGGAGACTGGCTGGGTGTGACTGCTCTCACTCGAGGTGTTCTGAGTGTGTTGATGGTGAATGTATATAGTGTGTGACAGTGTATAGTGTGTAAATAGATTGTATATATATACATAAATTAGCATGATACATAATAAATATGTGCAGCATATGTGTACACAAGTGTCATGTACGTAACACAGTGTCTTCGGACAGTATGGATGTTTTACTGCCATAATATAGTGTACGTGTTCATTATACATAGGATTAGCACGTAAAAACAAATAAAATGTATTTGGAACTGTGCACAAAAAATGAACAAAAATATATTCGCGGCAACTCATGCCCCCCGCCCCAGGAACGTAAGTCACGGGCGAATGGGGAATGATGACATCACGCGCCAACTTACGGACCCCATAGCAGCCAAAGTAAGTACAATTTCATTTTTTTTTTTACATACCCATACTGAGGGAAGGGTTTTTGACACTTTAAAAAATCAAAATAATTTTTTCCAGAGAATATATTTCCTGCGCACTGTGGGGGGTGTCATATTTGGAGGCAATGCAGTTAAGGAGTTAATCTTTATCAATCAATCAATCTTCCCTCATCACAATCAACTTGAGAATGGTCCAGGGTGGACCGAAACGCCGTCGTCTCTTCACCTTCTAGTGTGTGTGGTCTTGTCAACAAACAAGGACTTGCCCGAAATGCTACACATTCTAGTGGCTGTACAAGAATGTAACGATTCTTGTATGTATGTATATGTATGTGTGTGTGTGTGTATATATATATATATATATATATATATATATATATATATATATATATATATATATATATATATATATATATATATATATATATATATATATATATATATATATATATATATATAAAATAAATAGTACTACAATGCTACCTAGCTACACTAGCACTACAATGCCACCTAGCAACACCACAACAATACCATCTAGCTACACTAGCACAACAGTGCCACTTTTGCTACATTCCCAATACAGTACCACCTGGCTACAGCAAAAGGGGGAAGAAACAAAATTTACCTCATCAAGATTTCCTCAACTTTATGAAATAAAGATTTTTCACTAAATTATAATATTAAGAACTACAGTAGTTATGATCTAAGATTGTTAACTGCACAGAAACAAAATGATATTTGTCACTTCAAGTCCATGTCAATTCTTGCATCGCATGGAAAGGTATGGGTTTTTAAAACAAGTATTCCGGAAGTGTAGTGTTAGAACTTCATTAGCAATATCTTGCCCTGAGGCACAGTCAGCTGTCAACAGTGTCACGAGTAACACAACTGATAATGTCACGCATCAACTACACTAACCTCTTGAGTTTCCTCGCCAGATGCATCAACAGAGCCTTGGCGGGTCAAATACTTGGAGGGAATGGACTCCCCTCGAAGAAGTGGCCTTCTGCGACGGCCGCCGCGGCCCCCTGCAGAGTTGCCATCACGTCCATGTTCGCCTTCGTGCAACCCTGGCTCCACATTCTCGCCTGGGCTGGAACTGCTGCCTACTGGGCTACAATGACAGGATCCTCAGTTTCCAAATATGTACAAGTCAAAAGCTGCATCTCTGGAACTCGCTACATAATATTGCTTCTACTGTATTATGTAGTAGCCAAGAGATGCATCTCTGCCAGCCACAAATGATACTGCTACTATTATGTAGTAGCCCAGAGATGCATATCTCTGCCAGCCACAAATGATACTGCTACTATTATGTAGTAGCCCAGAGATGCATATCTCTGGCAGCCACAAATGATACTCTTACCAATACTTCCTACCTACCAATACCAATACACCTTCCCAGTACTTGGAATGTGACACCTAAATCACATTTCACATGCTTTATTGAAATAAATTTCCAATGAACTTCCCAAGTTTAAGTATATTGGGCCAACCCCACAGTTAATTCATGACATGCAAAAATATTGGCTGAATCTGAAAAATAGAACTTTTCAAGTACAATGAAAGTGAACCTGTCAGAGTCCTATTTATAAATCTTTAAGTTCACATTATGTACGGCAACACAACACACTACAACGCATACGGTAAGTCATTATGCTTGAATACACATTCTTAAACAGTCTAAGACAACTGCAAAATATGGAAACGTATATAATCTTCTGCAACAAAGTCTGCCGAAGGTAAACTGCCATGGTTTTAGTCACATGATGCAGAGACAGGTAATGTTGCCTCTCACTGCAGTTGCTCAAGATGTATACTGTTTCTATAATAAAAATAATACACCATAGAAAAAATCAATATTATAGAAACTTAAATTAACAATGGACTAGAAACTAAAAACAAAACATTAAATGAATGCATTGACACTATTCTACTACAACATAAACTTACAGAGTATTTTGTGCTGTTGTACTGAAGGCTCAAGTGGCTGCACGAAGTGTTCTGATTGGTCCAGAGAGCAGTGATGTCACAAAGTGAGAAGGGATTAAATAAGGCCATGCGTAAGTAACCAAAGGCTTGATATTCTAAAAACTCAAATCTGGGTACCATAGGGATTCATGAGAAAGTTGGGTATTTAGTATGCATTAAGAAACAAGAATTACTATTATAACTCTTTAAATTTTCATATTTAAACTAAACCTTGTAAGTATTTGTAAGACTTGAACGTATAAAGACGAGTTTTAACAAAACTGTAATTCTTGCTTGTTATTTTTACATTTTTATAAGATTATGTATAAATTCAATGAACAAAGTGTAAAGTGTAATAAAAACACACAATCCAAGCTTATTACTGGTATACAAATAAAATAATTACCATGCATAATATAGAATGCAAAGCCAAAGCCTGTCATTGGATGATTAATGGTCCTTAAAACATGACACACACTATTAATATTAGAGTAAATGCATTTTTTTGTGTTGGCTACTTGTAATAGCAAATTGATAATACATTGTAAGAAGTTGCATTAACAAACAATTGTGCATCAACCTATGAATCATGTAAGCAACCATCATGCTTCTGAAGCCAATCACATGCATGCTTGAAGGCAACGTACCTTTGAGACGTGATGCTTTCATTAGACGAAGAGAGAAGATCAACACTTGTTTGTGCTCTTATGCGTCGCTTAGGTGAATGCCTGCGTGGCGACCGATCCCAATGAGGAGGCTCAAGTCGACTCTTAACCGCTTCATTCTGCCCTGCAACCCCACTTCCACCAACTCCCTCAGTAGATGCAACACTTCCTATGCCTAGCAATGATTTAAGTCCCTTTCCTGGGGACCTCTTTAGTCGCTTTCGACCTAAGCGTTTGAGTGGGGAGGTAGATGCATGGGAGTCTGAATGAAGGACTTCTGATGATGGGCAATCATAGAGGCCATCCGAGTCTGTGTATGGTAACTCAGGCTTCCCACTCACACCAAAGAAGGCTGGATATATTCTTACTACACTAAGACGAGAATCACTAATGGGAGATTCACTACGAGAACTGACCGGGCTTAATCGGGCAGGCTTTTCAGTTAGGCAATCTTCTAATGATGATTCACTATGTAGTGAGGTATGGACCACAATAGCTGGCGGAGATCTGGCCAAGCGAGGTGATTCCTTAGGAAAAGAATGGCTAGAGGAGAGCAGCAATCTTTGTCGCTGTGCCTCTGCTTCATCCACACAGCCAATTTTTTGCACTTCGTTTCCCTGCATAACACTATCACTACACTCATCGTTAGTGTCCAACTCCAAAGCAGAATCGGCTTCTGGCTGGGAGACAGCAGGATCATCTGTAGTTTCAGAGTCTGTTCGGAGTAGTGGGGAAGGGGTAATGGTTATGGGGACAATTTCAGTTGGTGGAGATTTGAGCAGAGGTCGACGTTTTGATCTGTTTGGAGGAGTTACAGCAGGTGGAGGACTGGGAATTTGTAGGGCCCGGGGAGGTATTGATGACACAGAGGGAGTCGACGGTTCGTCTGGACACAGTGGATTGTTCGAGGAACACCGTGAAGGGCCTGGAGAATATGCAGAGCTATATCCAGATGAACTAAGATTAGATTCAGAGGCTCTTAAATCAACCCCTAGAAATGGACTGAGATAACAAGATGAAGGTCCACCACGCCGGCATCCGTTTGTGGGAGAGTCTGTGTCAGACTCAGCCTCACTGAGAATGCTAGTAACTGTGATGGCAGGGGCAGGATGCAAATCCAAAGATCCAGCCTTCTCTCGTTGTAGTGGATGCCGTCTTGGAGGAGGAACAGGAGGCTTGGAGGGCTGAGGTGCTTCAATATTGATCATTGGTACAAGGGGATACTGCTTTCTCAATGCAGGTGGTGAAGCTAATGTAACATTTAGTGTTGGTATTATAAGAGGCTGTGGTGGTGGTGAAGGTGACTGAGGATCATCATCAGCAGAAGAAACTGTAATGAGAGGAGCCTGAAGGATTCTACCCACGTCGACACTTTGCGATCGTGTTCGTGGTGCAGAGTCCCAGCGCACCTCATCAGTATCCTCCACTTTAATCACTGGAACAGTTACACTGATGCCCCCATATGCACCTCCGCCATCAGACGAGCTTTCCCCTTTTTCAGGGCAGAATTTAAGCAAATTAGCATTTGGAATATGCAATGGTGGAGGCTTTATTTTAACTTTAGGTGAAGATGCAGGTGAAATATTGGGTGATGTTACAGGAGAAGGAGTTCTTGATGAGAGTGAAGAAGAGGGTGTGACAGTAGCACCAGTGGGTGAGAGTGTCTCTGACCTGATGCTCGCATAGGGAAGGCTATGCAAGCTTTTCAGGGAAGTAAAGAAGATGCGGTGGTCTGGACCAGAGCTATCTGAACTGCTGCGCTCCACAGAAATGGACAAAGAAAATTCGGATTCAGTGTCTTCGCTATCTTTGTTGTCATTAGATTCTGAGCTTGTGCGTGGCTTGGGTCTGTATCTGCAGGGTGTGGGGAGTGGTGAAGGAACAGGTGTAGGCACAGGTGTGGGCAGTTCGGTGATGGGCGAGAGACAACGATGCTGATCGTTGGTAGGGACCTCCAAAGTGATGACAGGACCAGAGTGTTGAGTGGACCCTCCAGACCCTCCTGCAGACTGCACCTGCAAAACACAGGTATTTATTCTATTCATTCAATTTAGTACCAAATCAATGAACATGAAAATCCTTAGGCTGTGTTGTCAGATGTCTGAAGTGAATTATTTTAAGAAGTGCACTTTGAAATTCTGAATTAAGGGAAGCTATTTTTGAGAAAAATTAGAATGTCATCAGCTGGGAGTCATGTAATGTTAATTTCATAAACAGGGGATATGACTACTTCATAATAATGATAATTTGTTTTGTTGGTCACAGGAAGCCTGTGACTGCATGTATTTTAGGCTTGTATCAAGGTCCTGCCAAGGTCAAATTATTGACCTTCTCCAGTATGCAACCCCACAAAAGTTGCCAAACTCCTGGGTACCTATTTACTGTTACATCAACAGAGGCATTAGGGACTGGAACTATTCCTTTTTGGTTAGTCAGGGATCATTTCCAGTCCCTTTATTTCGGTCTTCAGAAACCAACAGTTCCAGTCATTTTAGTTTCTGTGGGGAGCCCCTTCGGCTCCCTAGAGCTATCCAGGCTGATATGCATCTCTTTAGAATTTGGCATCAGTTGATGTGGGTGGAGTTCTAGGCTTACCAGGGACCATGAGCCAGAACCTGGCCCCCTCAGAGAGGCCCAAGGAGCAATGGCCTGTAGAAATGCACATGTGATTTGGACCATTCTATATCTGCCATTGACTGGGACAGGCACCCAGAAAGGTAAGCGCCCCAAAACAAACCCCCCTATTCTGGTTAAAAACGCCAAAAATAGACAAACGAGTGGACAGAACTCCTCAATTGAAAACGAGCAAATGAGCATGACATCACATGAGCCACGCCGCATGTCTGCACAGCTCCCCCCCTCCCTGGGAGGGGGAAGGGAGAGCCCCAGACCCCCGTGCTGGCGATCCACACACCAGTTCTTCAGCTGATGTAATACGGCATGGTTGTGTGGCTCCAGCTCCAGACTCATGTGTTGTGCTGTCCTTTGGTTCAGTACTGCTCTTAAGGTAGCATGCAAGCTGGGAGTAATATTCGCAGGTACTCAGGCTGCATGTGCTTAGGGTCACCTTTCCTGAGTTCCCTGTAAGTACCGCCCTTTGGGCTTAGGGTTCTCTTCCACAGGTCACGTTGGGTCTAACTCTGTTGGTCTTTAGCTGCTCAGCGATTGACTGCACTGAGTGTTTGGAGGGGTTTCTTCCCTTGTTAACCTTGGGGTAAGATGTAGTTTTTGCACAGGTAGGGGAGCAGGCCTCTTGTGAGGTTTTTCTTTTTCTTTTTGCCTTGGGGGGTCTGCCTTGGTGTCACTCCCCCTGTTACATTAGGGTTTGACTTTGTTTGGTGGTACCCCCTGCTTCACCCTCATGAGTGGACACATCCCGGGGTTCAGTATTTGCAGTTTGTTTGGTCTTTTTGACTTGAGTCTATCACCATCTGTGTGGTGATCAGGTGGCTTCCTTGATGGTGTTCCACCTGCGGGCTTTGTCTCGGCGGCAGTATGAAGTTTCCTGGCGGCCCTTCCATTTCTTTTTGACTCTTCGTTGTTGTACTTCGCTTTCGGTTCCGATTGTTTTGTCCTTTCTCTCTTGGTTGTTTCAGGGCCATCATCTTATGATGAATACTGACACCTCATATCGTGCAGCATTGGCGGAGCCGCTGCAGCATAATTTCTGTACAGATGTTACTTCTGCGCTGTTTTGCAAGCTGTCTCATGCATTGTTTCACCTCTGGCCTGCTCATGCGCCGCCTGAGCTGTCCTGGTCTTTGGACAGAGTGCTCTCCTATCTCTCTTCTCCTCAGTTTCTTGTGGCCCATTCGGTTCAAGTCCTCTGGGGGTCGAACTGTGGAGCTTCATGCTTTTCTCCGGAGCAGAGGTTTCTGCTCTTTTGGTCGTGGTGATAGGTTTGTTTGTTTGCAGCCATCTCCTCCTTTTCTGGCAAAGAATGAGATTGCTGCTTTCCGGAGGGTCCCTTGGAGTAGTTGATGCTTGGTTGGTCAGGCTGGGGAGTGCATCATGTGTTGTGGTCAGTAGCAGCCCTCTGTCGTTATTTGCGCGCCACAGATTCTGTGTCCGGGGATACGCTTTGGGTTGATCCGGTTTTCCTTCTTTCCTGATCTAGGGTGCGGGTCCCTCAGGTTGTCTGCAGGGTTATTAAGTCTAGCCAACCTTTGGTCTATTCCTGTGCCCATGACTTTCGTAAGTTTGCTGCGCTTGCTACTGTCTTTGGTAACATGTCCTGGGCTGACATTCAAGCACGGGATTTTTGGCAGTTGAACAGGTTCCAGCTGCATGCTACCTTGTTAATGTTCCTGGGCCTAGTCAGGACTGTGTTGCTTTGGGTCAGCAGTTGCAGCCTGTCTCAAATTTGAGTTTAGATGTGAGCACCGACCACCTCCCGGGTAAGTCCCCTTTTATTTTCGTCTTTGGTGAAGTAGCTCCAGGCAAGACAGGCAAGAAAAGGAGAGCTGGCAGCTCCCTGACCCAATCCACAGGAGGCCAATGCCACCAAAAATATGGCCTGTGAAAAACAATCTTGAAACGATGGGGCTACCACAAACCGAGAGGAGAGGAAAGATAAGAGCACCCTGACCAAGGACCAGGGCAGCTCAGGCAGCACATGAGCAGGCTGGAAATGAAACAAACCACGAGAAAGCGTATGGAACGGGGAGGATGTGACGTCCACCCCAAACGCAAGCCAGAGCGGCTCTGCCAGCGCCCCACGATACGAGGCGACAGTAAGAAGCATCAATTAACGGTCTTAAAAAACAAAGAAAGGACAAGACAGCCCGATGCGAAAGAGAAGACAACATACGAAGAGCAAGAAAAAGGCTAAAAGAAACGCCACGAAACTACATACTGTCGCCGAGATGAAGCTCGCAGGGGGGACGACACCCTCAACGAAGCCACTTTATCACCATAGAGATGGGAATACACCCGCGTCGAAAGACCAGATACAAAGAGCCAAGGAGAAGGCCGAACCAGCCACGTACCAGACTGGTCTGACCTGCCGAAAGAGGCGTAGCCACACGAAATGCCCCAGGTTCGGACACCGATCAAGCAGCATCTGAAAACAAAGCTGGGCCAGCCACCAAGGGGCCACAAGGACTACTTACCTCGGGAAGGACTCCAAACAAGCCAGAACCCAAAGCAACAGCTGGACCAGAGGAAGAGGTAAAGGTAACTCCACCTCAAACAGTCCTGCCGAAAGGCATCCATTGCAAAAGCCTCATAGGCGGGAAAGGGCGCTACATAGAATGGGAGACACTGAGACCACACCGACGCGAAGATGTCCACATCCGGGAGTCCGTACGTCCGACAGCCAATGAAACGAATCAGCGACGACCGGCCAATCCATGAACAGAGGAATGAACTGAGACAGGCCAACCGACAGGACGTTGAACACTTCCTGGACATGAACCACACGGAGAGCCAAACCCCGAGAATCTAGCAGACGAGCCACTTGAAGGGACCAATCCCAAAGAGGCAAGGACCGAAGAGAACCCTCGCGATTCCAGCAAGGAACCATCGGAGAACAGTCCGAATGGAGCCGGACAGGAGAGTCCCGAGTGAACCGAACCCTCCAAAGCGCAAACCAGACAGCCACGAACTCCCGAACCGTGCTGTGAGCCCGACGGAAGGATGGACCCCCCACTGTCCCAGGCTGGCCTAGTGAGCACTGGTCACAAAGCCCCAGCTGAGAGACGACCCATCCATGAACACATCGAGTGAAGGCTCCAGGAGGCGCCAAGACACCCCAAAAATGGGGTGCCTTGGCACCCCATTTTTTATTTTGGGCAAAACGCAAATGTTTTTGGGCACGGAATCCCAAAAATCCGAAGAGGAAGCCAGCTCACAGCACTAACACAAGGTCGTCGGAAGACAAACCCAACGATCGTATGAGAGGCGGAAGGGGCGTCCTCGAAGGAACCAAAACAGACACCGAAGCCAAACCCGACCCGACAGGTAGACCAGCACTGCGAAGTACAGACTCCTGCACAACCGCTCAAGCAACCGCCAAGTGACCCAGGACCCCCTCAGAAACATCTGAAGGTGGGACCACAGCTGCAGCAACACATCTGGAGAGACACAAAAAGCAGTCCAAGAGTCTGAACAAACCAGGTCCGAACCCGGGACGGAACCAAATGGAATATCCTCCAGTTCACCAGGAACCCAAACCCGGCGATCTGGAAAGAACCACATCCCTGGCGAGCAGACAAGTGAACCGACTGGGAGCCCACACCAGCCAGTAGGCCAGAAAACCGAATCCCGAACAGACGCAGACAGGTCACCAAGATCCGGTAAAGGTGCGTAAATACACTAAGTGCCAAGTACAAATTAGGGAAGGCAACCAGTCCTGGAACCCTGGAGAGGAACGTGCCAAGAAGTGACCTAAAGGTCCAGGGACACCATCCAGGTACCCAGACCTAACAGAAGCCAGACCAGAGACAACAGTCATCCAAAGAGGGGGCAAAGAATCCAGGGCACAGACTTAACAAGCCCAGAAGAACCGCAGAGCGATTAACCCTCAAACCGCTAGGGGCCCAAATGGAATTAACACCCACAGGTGCAACAAAAACAAATCCAAAAAATTCTTTCGTCTTATAGAAGTGTTCATTTTTGTTCCCTGATCACGGAAAAAAAAAAAATGTAGGTGGCATATTTTAGCCACAATAGGGTAGGGAAGTCTGGCAAAAAAGGGGCGTTGACAGCCTTCACCAGACGAGGTCTACTCTGCCTGAGCTGTCAGATGGCAGTTGCCACAAATATATTATAACCTAATTATTTCAATGTCTCTGATTTTTTCTTAGTTTTTTGCAGTAATATTATTCCATACAGTGACTTGTGGTATATTTATATAATAAAATGTGTGAACCATCGCTGTACTCAAAATTATGGTGTGCATATTAGTGATTCAATTATTATGTTCCTAAAACAATAAACAAATAGTTTTGCTGTTGTTACACTATATACACAGGTTATATATAAGTATCTGCATGTTTTGTTCACCATAACAAACTACTAAGTTGGTCTTGTGAGTCAAAAAGCAGCGAGGAGTGACCGCCACATACCAGCCAGCCACTCGTTACCATTCCCTCCCTCAACAACACCTCACCCTCATTCTTCTCCCACAATACGGCTTTTGCATTTATTCACTATACACAGATGTTATATATACATATTTACATGTTTTGTTCACCATAACTGTACATCTAAGCTTGTATGGTGAGTAGAGGCACAAAGACGTAGCTACTCACACAGTCAGCTGGTGACGGCCGCCCTCAAGGCCAGACGCACTAATATTTGTCCTCCAACAATATTGTTTGTGGTGTTATTACGCTATATACACACATTATATATAAGTATCTACCTGTTTTATTCACCATACCTGTACAAATAAGCTGGTATTGTGCCCAAAGACCATAGTGGCCACCAGTAAACAACATGACAAGTCGTGCAGACGACGCATCTCCCTCACCAAAATGGTGGCTCCCAATCTACTCTTCTTGCTGTTATCTCACACTATACACATGTTATATATAAGTATCTACATTTGTGTTCACCATAGCGAACCACTAAGCTGGTACGGTTAGTGTAGTCAATAAAAGGTGGCCACACACAGTCAGAAGACGACGCCACAACCCGCATTCCAACAGCCTTACTCCCTCCATGGAGCACAGCGCTAAATATCACCACAATCCTACTATTATCAGAATCCTGGTCAGTTTTATCACAGTCAGGGGTCTTCTATAATACTATCATCGCTAAATAATAGCAGTATCATGTATATTATGGCATTTGTAGGTGATGCTGTGGTCAAAAGCTGAACAGCGGTGCTGTGAGCTCGTGCTGCGTGCGCCAGCCTTGGTGGCTTGCTCTTTACTGACGCTCTAACACCCAAGAATGTTGGCCTGGATTTTTTTTCTAGGTGGCATCTGGCAACTATTGGTCGTGGCTGTACTATAGCTGCCCCTATCCCAGGCGGGGCGTTTAAATTATAGCGCTAGACACGAAAGCATATATAAATGATGTGTGCGGTTTCGATTTTGTCACTGATATCATATATATATATATGATATGTGCGGTTTAAGGGTTAAGGCCAGCATCAGCATTGGAACAGGCAGGAACCCCAGAAGGATGGAGCGGATCGACCATGTGTCCCCTGACCGCTCGACCACAGCATTGCCTAAAAATATCAAAATATATATGTAACTGCTATAATTTAGCGATGATAGTATTACAGAAGACCACCATGACTATGAAGAAAATGATCAGTATTCTAATAATAGCAGGATTGTGTGATAATTAGCATTGTATGGTGGGAGGAGTAATCTTGGTAAAGGAGGGAGGTTGTGTCGTCTGCTGACTCCGTGTGGCAACCTGTTATTGTCTTGACCAATCATACCAGCCTAGTGGTTCGCTATGGTGAATACATATGTAAATACTTATAACACGTGTGTATATAGTGTAATAACAGCTAAAGGAGTATGTTCGGAGGAGCCATTTTGGTGAGGGAGGTGGTGTCGTCTGCTGGCTGGTATGTGACTTGTCATGCTGTGTAGGGTGGTCACTGTGCTCTTTGGGCACTATACCAGCTTAGTTATACAGTTATGGTAAACAAAACATATACTTATATATAATGTGTGTATATAGTGTAATAACAGCAAAAACAGTTTGGTGGGAGGAGGAATATTGGTGAGTAAGGTGTTGGTGAAGGAGGAAGAGAGGTGGTGTCTGCTGCCTGGTGTGTGGTGGCCACTCTTGTTGTTTGGACTCGCCATAGCAACTTAGTGGTTCATTACGGTGAACAAAACATGCAGATATTTGTATATAATGTGTGTGTATAGTGTAATAACAGAAAATGTATTTGTTTATTGTTATATGAACATAATTGAATCATAAAGAAAAAATCAGACATTGAAATAATTAGGTAATAATAATTTTGTGGCAACTTCCGCCTGACAGCATGATTGGAACAGACCGCCTCCAACACTTACTCTGTCAACGCCTCAATTTTGCCACTTCCTCAGCCTATTGCGGCCAAAATATGTCACCTACAATATTTTGTATTATTTTTCCCATGATCAGGAAACACATTTTAAAAATCTTATAAGTGGTGTTGCAGGCTATAACCCCAAGTGCCTCCCAAGGGTTAAGAACCCTTTTAAGAAACTGACATTATTGTCAGTTTCTTAAAAGACATTATTGGTTACAAATAGGTAATTATGCACATGAAGAGCATCATCTAAGTATAATTACCTGCACCTGAAGAGCCCCCGGAACAGTGAGTGTGTCTTGCTTTTGAGGCAGTGCCTTTTGTGGTGTGGTGGGGGTGGTTGAAGGTGATGGATGAGATGAAGAATCATCAAACTCAGAACCGTGAGGGCTGGAAGGATTGGATGATGGACGACCAGATCCCCCTGAAAGTTTGAAAATATTGCTGTCAGCTTCCAATATAATCATTGTGGATAAAGTGGCTCCTTTCATCTGATATTTGTTATAATTGAAAGAATGCGATTGCATGCTCTAAACTGATATGATTGTATATTGAAAAAAAATGACAATGAAGGTACTGTATTTAACTTCACTAATATTCTGTTCAGCACCACATTAATTTGAGCTGAAAAACACATTAACAAAAAAATAAATTAACAAAAAAGCCAGTGTTGAATGTAATGAAATGCCATTTTCTGGGTGAGTCCCGGAGGCTCCCCGGAGCTATCCAGGCTGAATGGATATGTATATCTTTCTGGCATCAGTCAATGCATGGAGTTCTTGCCTACCGGGAACCACAAGCCAGAACCTGGTCCCCTCTAGAGGGGCACGAGGAGCAATGGCCTATAGAGATCCCCCCTGTGGTTGGGAGCATTCTATGTCTGCCATCGACCCGGACAAGCACCCAGAAAGGTAGGTGCCTCAAAACAAAACCCTTATTCTGGTAAAACTATTGTGAACGAAGGCCAAACAAGTGGACAGAACTCCCCAAACAAAAATTAGCAAACTAGCATGATGTCATCATGTCACAGCGCCGCTGTCTGCGCAACCCACCCCCCCTCCCTAGGACCCTAGGATGGGGAAGGGGGAGCCCCCAGACCCACCTGCCAGCAACCCAACCTTCAGTTCTTAAGCTGGATGTCAAAACGCAAGAAAAACTCCGCCGACCGAAGGGAGGGAGGGATGCCATGGAGCCTCCGGGACTTGCCCAGAAAATGGCGTTTCATTACATTCAACACTGGTTTTCTGGGGGAAGCCCAGTCAGCTCCCCAGAGCTACCTCACCATAGATAAGGAAAACAGGGAAGGCTCCGGGAGGCAAACACCATGTCCCCTAATGTAAAACATGACCACAGACTAAAAGAAAGGACCTTGCCAATGACCCGGGAGACCCGAGCTCCAGAACAGGAAGGAGGGAAGTAAAGAAATCCGGGCAAACCAAAACGTGTCCACAGCCCCAGAGGCCAAGACAGAGAACAGCGAAGAGCCACACACACTGCCGCTGAGACGAAGCACGCAGGCAGGAGACCAACAACAAAGCCACCAGCGCCCCCACAAGCGATGAGAACACGAGACAAAAACTCCAGACGTGAAGACTCGAGGGGAAGAACGAACTAGCCCCATACAGGGCTGGACCGATCCGCAAAAAGAGTTGGAGCCACAGGAAGCCCCCTCAGGATTGGAGCCAAGGAAAGCAGAGCCCCAAACAAGGCTGGCAAAAATCAGAGGGAACGGCCGCCAGGAAACCAGAAACCTAATCCTGGCTAGCCAAAAAGGAACCAACCCGGACGAGCAGAAACCCCCCGTCCGGGAGGAATCCCCCCCCAGGACCCTGGAAGGACCAACAAGGCTAGAAACCGAAGAGCCAGGGTGTAGGCAGAGGCCAACAAGAAAACCGAGCACCACAAACTAAAACACGAGACGCGAAAAAAAGAGAAAAGCGAAAAGCAGTGACCCTGCAACCCTAAGCAGCAGCGTAACCAGCTCCAGCAGGGAAGGAGGAGGCACACATCACAGAGGTATACAGGAGGAGAACTACTCAGGACGTGTACCGCAAGAAAACAAAAACGCACGTTCCGGAAAAGAACAAAAGAAAATTGTCCGGCTTGAATTCCGAAGCCAGCCGGAATCCAAGCTACCCCTGTCCCAAGAAAAAGAACCAGGAGGGCAGGAGCAGTTGACCGGAAGTCCACAACCTTTCGCAGACACTGTAACAAGGGAGAACAAGGAAAGAGTGATCTCGGTACCAAAACTGAACACTGGGGTAGTCCAAAATCCGGGAACTTAACATGGACAGAGGCCCACCCTGGTACTTAACAACAGTAAAGCAAATAAGCACCAAGATACACAGCCAACTGTAGCACAGAGGGGTAGAAAAACAAATAGGCAAGGAAAAGACCGGAATACGGACCAAGTAGCAGCCGGCAACTCAATGTACACGACCAACCACAACGTGTGGTGTGGGAGTTCGCACATACACAGAAGGACACCATGGAAATCAGGGTGCACCCAGGCACCGAAGATAGGCCAGGAAGGAGTGTCCAGAGACCAGAGACCAAGTCAAGGAAAGAGGACACAAACACGGACCGAGGGAACGAAGGAGTGTTCAAAGATCGAGAAAAGACTCGGGTACCGAAAAACGAAACAAAAAGCCCCAAAATGCGGGGCAGTGCCCCACAGTACAACAAGAACAAGAAACACAGACAAAGTAGTCACTGTAAGACACACGCAAAGTGTCCAAGCAAAACACACAATACCTAACACCCTTGTTAGGAGCCAATGATGCTACCCCTGTCAAGTGGGGAAGTGACAGGGTAGACAAGGATGGACCAGGGAACACGGGTGGTACACGCACAAGGGGACACAGGAGGAAGCCGAGAACCCAAATGAGCCACAGACACACAGAAAGAACTGTTTCAGAGTCAGTAGTCAGTAAGTGGAATGCACCAGGAAGGGATGTGGTGGAGGCAGACTCCATACACAGTCGCAAATGTAGAGAAGTTAAAACACAGTAGGCTCAGGAACCTGTACACCTGATGATTGACAGTTGAGAGGCAGGACCAAAGAGCCAGAGCTCAACCCCTGCAAGCACAACTAGGTGAGTACAACAAGACTAGTACCACACCAGCACCCGGCCGACAAATTTGCCAGACAGTACAATCTCACCTGCAAAACAGACACCACCGTGTTATGACACAGCTGAGCCGTATAATGTAACATGAGCATCCCTAGTGGAGAACGTCCAGAGGTGTGTGCCCAGTAGGAGAAGATGAGGTGCATGCAGGACAGAGGCGGATGAGGCACCACTCAGCGCCGCCCCACACTGGCTTCAGAACACCAAGTATCCAGGGGTCATGACCAGAAAGAAGAGGAGTGAAAATGGTGTAGAATCCGCAAGCAAGAATGTGCAACTCTCACACACGTGTACACTGCCCAGAAACAAACTGATCACCCCGGCCCCAGCGCCCGAGGTAAGAACCGCACCACCCATCTTCCGGGCAGCGTGGCTTGTACACCAGTCATATGTAAACATATCGTACATACACCATCAAGGTGTACGTACATACGTACAAAGCAAGGAAACGAATACAAGGAATATTGAAATAGGAAAGGGAGATGATGTGAATACAAAATAAGGACTGGAGAGAAACCTCACCAGAAGTCAACAGATGTCCCAAGAACATCGGAAGTACCAAAGAGGTTCACAAACCAAAGAAAACCGTGACAAACTAGCACAAGCACACGGAAGCACATATGGGCCTAAAGACCCCCAGACCAAGGGACGTGCAAGGCTCACAAAATGAATAGAATATCAATGCGACATAAGCGCGAAAAAAGTGAGGAAAGGGGGGAAAAGCACCCCCAGGAAGGACGGAACTGAACCCAGGGAGGGGTAGACCCGAAACCAACACGAATCCACAGGGGGAAGGGAAACCCAACTCTGAGGAACTGCAAAACCCTAAGCGGGGCAAAACGGGGCCTAGGCCCCCCAGGTAACCCCTCCCAAACCCCGGGAACCCCCTACGGCAGGACCCGAGGCCGAGTCGTTCTCCTCAAAGCCCCAGCCCCACAAGTAAAAGCCGGGGCAGCCGTACAAAACACTAAGGAAGAGAGCCCACTGGTCAGACCCATACAGCACGGCTGGAGGAACAGGCTCGATTGCCTCCGCCACCACCCCAGAAGAGGAAAACCCCCAGAGACTGTCCGAGTCTCAACCCATCCAGACCCCGCCCCAACCCCGAAACCTGCCAGACCGAAACGTCCAGAGCCAGAAGCAAGGAGAAGGAAGTATGCACAACAGAAGGGGAAGGACGAGGAGGAGTGGACGGAACCGGAACCGAAGCGACTCCACCCCAATGTCGAGACCCCCATAAACAAAAATGGGGCAGTCACGGGGCATCCGGGGCCGCAACCAACCTAGAGCGTTGCAGCAACCTAAATCTAGCATGCAATGCCGCAGCTGCCTGCACCTGCACATCACTATCAGTGGCTTGGGTGAACGGGAACACGTACAGACAACACACATCGCACGACTCAGGGTCAAAACAATCATCAACCCAACAGGCAGCATGGCAGAGGCAAAAAAGGCGAGTGTCACCCTGAGACAAGAGGACAGAACCTTCAAACTCGTAAGACGCGAGAGGGGACTCAAGGGTCACATCCATCGGACCACGTAGCCCCAGTTGGGTTTTCCAGGGCCCTTAGCCATGGTTACACACGCTAAGGGAAGCCCAGGCAGGGTACTGCAAACCGGCACCCAAGTCTACCAAACAAACTGCTTAAGCTGAACCCTCGGGATATGTCCACTCACAGGGGCCTAGCGGGGACGATCACCAAACACACAAATATTGATACAGTGGCACCTCGTTTAACGAGTGGCTCTATCTACGAGCATTTCGAGTAACGAGCGAGCCACTCGCAGCAAATATGTCTCTATTGGCGAGCTTCACCTCTATTAACGAGCAAAACCACATGGTGCTTCCTAGCATCTCGCGGGTTCTCGCAAATTCTCTGATGCCTCTGACACCAGTGTTGTTGTTGTAACGCGCACGACAAGCATCCCTTTGCATTTATTTGTGCTTTTCTTTGTTTTTGTGGTTTTGTGACTACAATTTGTCACGCACAATGTCACCAAAGAAGCTGCTTGCTAAAGATAGTGTTGTCAAGAGGAAGAAAGACACAATTACTGTAGATTTGAAGAAGGAAATTATAGCAAAGCATGAGCGTGGTGTCCGTGTAACTGATCTCACAAGAGAGTATGGCAGGTCCTCATCAACAATTTGCACCATTAGTAGGGGATGAGGAGGTAAGGGAGGATGCTGCCTCTTCCAGTGAGATCAGGGAAGTGTTGGGAATGTTTGAAAAGGTGACCGCATTCTTGGAAAAGCATCACCCTGATAAAGCAGGGACAACCCGGTGTGTGAACA